ATATAATATAATTTTTCTATTTTTACTCACCTCCCTGGTGGCACAGTGTTCGGGATTCTCGTGCTCATTGATTTTGCCCTTGGGAAAGCCCCAAGAGTTTCGAGCGAAATATGATTGCACCAACAGGCAATGATTGTAGTCCTCCGATACGAGGATGGCGCCATATGTGGGCACAGATAATTTATACGTTTTCCACTCCTCCAATATCTGATTCACAGTGTCAAAATGCTTGTTCAGAAAGGGAATGTGCTGCAAAAAAAAAAAAAAATAAGCAAAATATTAATATATATATTGGTATTGCACTCGTTATGCTGCCCCTCTCACCTGAAAGAGTTGCATGGCAAACTGCTTGATGCCCACCGCGGGCAGCTTTCGCTTTTGCTGCATCTGCTGTTGCTCCGATTCCTCGGGCGCACAGAAGAAGTCCAAGTAGAACCAATGCGCCAGCTCAATTTGAAAGCAAATGCGTATTAAATTGTTGAGCTCCATGTCCGGTACATTGATGATGAATCGACTAGCCAGATCGTCGAGTATATCGGACGGAATTTTCGATTTCTCTGGCAATTTAATGCTGGACGACTTTATTACTGTTGCTGTTGCTGTGGCTGTTGCTGTTGCTACCGGTTCGTTGCCTGTTGCTGTTGTTGCCATTGGATCCTCTGAGGAGGAACAGGAGCTGCCATAGCTATTGGCCGTTGAGGAGTTGGTTGATGTGCTTGAGTTAGTCGATGATATGGATGAATTGAGTCGTTGATTTTGTGCGCTATGCCCATGATGTTGATGGTGTTGCTGCTGTTGTTGTTGTTGTTGTTGTTGATATTGTTGCTGCTGCTTCTGCTGTGACGACTTCCTTTCGATCGCAATGGGCGCACTGATGCCCGCCGCAGGCGTGACAGCAACACTTGCAGCTGCGGCTGTTGTCTCAAATACGGCGCCCGATTTGAGCAGCTGTGTCAAAATGTCAGTCTCAGCTTCGTTATCAGAGTGTCGTCGTTGTTGTTGTTGTTGCTGTTGCTGTTTAATTGCTGCCGTCGCCTTTGCGGCTACTTGGGACTCTTGCTGATAGGGCGATCCAAAAGTGTTGCCAGAAACATTGATATTGCTATTGCTATGGTTGTGGTTGATGTTGATGTTGTGGTTGTTGTTATTAATATTGTTGATGTTTAGCACCTTTTGGAGCGTCAGCGATGCAATCAACGCCAAGTTATTGACTTTAATCAAAGCATAAAATACACAGTTATTATAATTAAAATATTTCAATATATAGGGCTTATAGAATATCTTGCAGAGCTATAATTTACCAAGAATTTAATAAACAATCAATGCTCATGTTGTTTTTAAATAAATATTAAATTCACTATTTGAGTGACAAAAGTCACAAGGCAATGCACACAAGGTAAATATTTAAATAAATTAATTCAATTTGTCGCAATAAAACGACATTGAAACTAATTTCCACATATATGAGAAAAAGTATGCCATGAAATAATTTTATTACGAATATATAGATTATAAAGAAATTATAGACCGTTTTACTACCATATATAGAGATATTTTACTTCATTTCAATGAAATGTCAAGTAATATAATAATATAATACCATTGTCTTTCATTAACTGATTCACTCTTTGCTTGACAGTGTAAAACTAATAAACGAAAACGTTTAACGGGAAACTGTTTTTGATATATGAAACTTGGCATATCTAGTTACCGGAAATAATACCCAGATATGATAAAGACTGACTGCGAAAAAAACAACAAATAATAATGGAGAAATATATATAAGTGTATCGATTGCAGGGCAAGTAGACTTTAAACAGATTTACAATATGTGTAAATACATACATATATATATACTAAGTTATACAAAATGAATCTGTTCATGCCAGACAGCGTTTACTGTATTTGAAAACAAACTGTCAAAGCTTATAAAATTAACAACACAAATTAGTCACTGATTAAGTGAATCCCTTTGATTATCTTAGTTCATTAGTTTAGCCCAAAATGTTGTAGTCGACCTTCAGCTGCTTCTTTGCTGCCTTGTTTTCTGCTCTAAAGAGATTTGAATTATATTCAAGCAGAGATCACCTTGAAAATAATGCTGAATAATCATTACTACTGTGTGATTGTATGTGTGTGTTTGTGTCTACATAATGATCACAGCTGGGCCAATGATCTACAAATTGCGCAACAACAATTACAAACACTATTTGTTAGTAATCTTATGGCCTCTACGAGCGCATACTAATTGGGAATGGGCGCAGTTCAGCGACCTGCCTTCGAGTGTGTTGCAAGCGACTGCGCTGCCGCTGCGCTGCAACTGCACGCGTGGAAAACTACTGAGACTAGCAGATACAAACACCAACGTACAGTGTTGCCTGCTTGGTATGAAAATACTTTCTTTGGAGACATTAAATGCACTAAATTTTACGCACTTTTGGAATATCTAATATTCAATAAATTATCAAACATTTTTTTTAAAGAAAACTAATATTTAATAAAGAAAATTTGTTAAATATCAAAATAGTATTTTTTAAGTATATACAAGTTTATGACAATTTTTTCTTTATTGCATTTTTATTTTCCCATTTTCAATCCATCAATTTGTTTAACTGTCCGATTGAGTAAACAGGCGAGCTTTCCGATTATGAAATCTATACTATACACTTCCAAGTCCAATGTATAGATAGAGATAAGGCTATCGCTCTGTTTCTCTCTCTCTCTCTCTCGCTCAGTATTTTTTCAAGTGCTGCTATCGTAAAACTAATGTAATATTTATTTTTATTTTTCTTTGACATTAATATTTAATTACGTATATTTTTGTAAGGCCTAATCATTACCGTTATCATTTTGATGGGCTCTGCTATCGGTGTTTATTAATGTGTTGCCTACTGCTGTCGTTGCCGTTGTTGCCAAAACTGCGGCGGCAGCAGCGGAGCGCCTCTGTCGCTGCTTGTGCTGCGACGTCGACGTTGTTGCAGTGGCAGCAGCGGCTGTTGCGACGACGGTATTATATATTGGGGCAATTTCCATAATATTTAGTATATATTTGTTTTTAATACACTTTGTTTATATTTTTATTTGTAATATATTTGGTTTGTTATATTTTTATTTATTTTTCAATTACAATAAGGTTTAATTTGTTGATTTTATTTTTTCTTTTTTTTTCACGCTAATATTATATTCAGTCTTCGTCGTTCTTTTGTCGATTTTTGTCACGTATCTTTACAATATCGTGGATCGCGTTTTTTCTGATTCTGTTGTTGTTTTTGCTGTGAATATGGCTGCCAGTCGTCGAAAATCGTTGTTAGCTGCTGCTGCTGTGGCTGCTTTTGTCGCACAAATTTCAATTTCCAATGCAATTGTTGTACTTGATGGTTTTTGTAGCATGCATTTCTTGCCTTTGATGTTGGGATGATGTTGCAATCAACATAATCTTCAATTGTTTTTCTCTTGATTTTGTTTGTGTTGTAAGCCATCCACAATTAATTGTGTCGCTAAACAGAAACAAAAAGTCTCCGTTACTCTCCACTCGACATACGTACGCACGCACACAACCAAACTTGTTTTTCTTCACGTACTTTCTAAAAAAAAATGAGGCTGCCTGTATGTATGTGTGTATGTGTGGTTTTTGCGTCACTCTTTTTTTGCAGCTTCAATTTGCCTTAGTCGCTGTTATTTATATTCATGCGTAGTTTATATTTATTTCCTTATACGTTGCACTTAAATTTATCAATTACTTTGCACTATTAAATAGCTTTTTAATTTTTGGAAAAATGCTTCCTCGTCGCACATACACATATGAAAGTCGCAGACGTAAGACCACCTTTTGGCATCAGGAAAATACTCAACGAATTGTACTACGCGTTGCTTTTAATAGGCATGTATATCATAGTTCCATCTGCATGCGGTCACACTATTCAAAACAGAGTTGAAACTCGATCAATACTACTTCCTTTGATATTGTATTGATAATAATGCAAAATTTTCTGAAATAATCAATAAAAATAAAGGATAACATCAGTTTTAGTCCAAGTGCAATTATAACATTTAAATGGATAAGCTTTTATCGCAATGATTTTATCGAGAGGGTGAAATGTACTGTCTTTAACCTTATCGATAACTCGTAGCTCTAAAACGGCCTGCCTCTATCTGTCTCAGCGAGAAGCTTCTGATGAAAATATTGTGAAAAATTGTGTTTAGTGTGCTAAAATTCAAGCAATTGTATTACTAAATAATGCAATTAGTGTTTACATTATGCCCACCACTGGCAGTTATTTGTAACTGACGTGCACAGTTTAGCTAAACGTTACAAAATTTGTGTGTTTTTGATTGTTCGATTTTTCACACATAAAAAAAAAAGTCCGTGGTAGTGTAAAATCTGGTTATTTGCGAGAGCAAAAACAATTTGAAAACGCGAAAAACTAATTATAAGCACAGATGTCATATTAAGTAAGCAGCAAAATTGCATTTTCGAACATTTCCGCTTGCACCTGGTTTCCGTGGACGTGCTTTGGATCCGTGGATAACAGAGACGCAAAGGTATTGAGTCTACAACGAGCACACGTAGAGATGAGCGCGTGATTGTCTCACTCCCCAAAAAATAAAATAAAATGAAGCATGCCTGTATATAATTTAAGTTGGAAATAGACAAGTATTAACAATTTTAATAGTACACAAAATTAGTTTGTTCAAGTAACAAATGACATTCACATTTTACACAATATTTCACACTTTAAAGACTTGGGGCGTGAAACTTATATACGGACGGCCTGTCACGCACACATCTCTTAGTCTCGCACTTCAAAGGTCGGGCGATTGGCGATGTTAAAGGCAAAGACGTTTTCTTTCTCTTCCACTGATTTTAATTGTTTTTTCTTTTTTTTTCTTTAATATAGATAGACGCCGTGTGGGGTTGGGCTTCCGCCCCGCTGCGCTTAGCGGCGAACAGAATGGGCGACCCTCTACTGCCTGGCTCTACGGGCCTTGGCAGCGGCGGTACAGCCGCTGCCACCGGAGGCACAGGCACAACGGGCACGGGCCTGGGCAGTGGCGGCACTAGTGGCACCGAGCGCCCACCCTCGCCGGCCCGTCTCACTCACACATCGGAGAAGCATCCGAAAGTGACGCTCACCGAGCTTAACATGCTGCGCCGCCATAGAGAGCTCTGCGATGTGGTGCTCAATGTAGGCGGACGCAAGATTTTCGCTCATCGCGTCATACTGAGCGCCTGCAGCTCCTATTTCTGTGCCATGTTCACCGGCGAGCTGGAGGAGTCGCGCCAAACCGAGGTCACCATACGCGACATCGATGAGAACGCCATGGAGCTATTGATTGATTTCTGTTATACCGCTCACATCATTGTCGAGGAGTCCAACGTACAGACGCTGCTGCCTGCCGCCTGCCTGCTACAGCTCGTAGAGATTCAGGATATTTGCTGCGAGTTTCTCAAGCGCCAACTCGATCCGACCAACTGCCTGGGCATACGCGCATTCGCCGACACGCACTCCTGCCGCGAGCTACTGCGCATTGCCGACAAGTTCACTCAACACAACTTCCAGGAGGTCATGGAGAGCGAGGAGTTCTTGCTATTGCCCGTTGGCCAGTTGGTCGATATTATCTGCAGCGACGAGCTCAATGTGCGCAGCGAGGAGCAAGTTTTCAATGCAGTCATGTCCTGGCTTAAGTACAATGTCGCTGAGAGGCGACAGCATTTGGCACAGGTGAGTGGGATAATAAAAATTGAAATTAAATTTTTTCTTATTATGTAATTTATATTCATAGGTGCTTCAGCATGTGCGCTTGCCGCTACTCTCGCCCAAGTTCCTGGTGGGCACTGTGGGCTCGGACCTCTTGGTACGCTCGGACGAGGCATGCCGCGATCTGGTCGATGAGGCCAAAAATTACCTGCTCCTGCCGCAGGAACGTCCATTGATGCAGGGTCCACGCACCCGTCCACGGAAACCCACACGACGTGGCGAAGTCTTGTTCGCAGTTGGCGGTTGGTGTTCCGGCGATGCCATCGCCTCAGTCGAACGTTTCGATCCACAGACCAACGACTGGAAAATGGTTGCACCCATGAGCAAAAGACGTTGTGGCGTCGGTGTTGCCGTTCTCAATGATCTACTCTATGCCGTTGGCGGGCACGATGGCCAGAGTTATTTGAATAGCATAGAGCGCTATGATCCACAGACCAATCAATGGTCCTGCGATGTGGCGCCCACCACATCGTGCCGCACTAGCGTCGGCGTAGCGGTGCTGGATGGCTTTCTGTATGCTGTGGGCGGTCAGGATGGCGTCCAATGTTTGAATCATGTCGAACGCTATGATCCCAAGGAGAACAAATGGTCCAAGGTGGCACCAATGACCACACGCCGTCTGGGTGTTGCTGTTGCCGTCCTGAGCGGTCATCTCTATGCCATAGGTGGCTCTGATGGCCAGTGCCCGCTCAATACTGTAGAACGATATGACCCAAGGTAATTGTGTTCTTCAAGCCAATTTAATAATATCTAATACGATATTTGTATATCTAATTCACGTATAACAGACAAAACAAATGGGTTGCTGTTAATCCCATGTCCACTCGCCGTAAACACCTTGGCTGCGCCGTATTCAATAATTATATTTATGCTGTCGGCGGTCGCGATGATTGCATGGAGCTGTCCTCTGCGGAGCGCTACAATCCGCTAACCAACACCTGGAGTCCAATTGTGGCCATGACCTCACGACGCAGCGGCGTAATTTATAATTTATTATAGACTATTTACAATGTTTACTAATTTTTGCCTTTTATTCAGGTCGGCCTAGCCGTTGTTAATGGCCAACTGTATGCTGTGGGCGGCTTTGATGGCTCCGCCTATTTGAAGACCATTGAGGTCTACGATCCAGAGACGAATCAATGGCGCCTTTGCGGCTGCATGAACTATCGCCGTTTGGGCGGCGGCGTTGGCGTTATGCGCGCACCTCAGACTGAGAATTATATGTGGTGCGCAAAATAGTTTTATCTAGAGTATTAACTATAAAGTGATTTCATTCTTACCTGCATAACGTTATTTTGCTCCTTTTTTTACACATTATGCACACGCAAAAATGAACAAACGTAGGATAAGGAAGGATTCGGTCGTCTGATGGGAGCAGAAGCCGACGTCAGCGTTGCCATCTCAAACGTTGCCGCCGCCGCATTTCTACTGAAGGAGCATCAACAAAGAATACACAAACAGGTCCACAGCAAACTGCAACAAATCGAAGCCAAATTTTTTTCAGCGTTATGATGTCGATGAACATTAAGGACGTAATTGTATAATTGATTGTTAATTGTTTCCACATTTGGTAGCGCGTTAAAAGAAAAATGTTTATTGTATCGCGAGTTTTTAACAAATATTCAAAGTGTTAAATCTAAGCTAATGAAAACCCACACCTACATATATACATATTTAACATGAATGGAAAATGTATTTGGCAACAAATCCTGCATGTTCTATGTAAAAAAAACGAAAACACACACACGGTTAAAATTTCCAGGAAATTTCTAACATGCCTTCTCCCTAAAACAAATAATCTACAAGTTCTCGAAAACAAAAAAGAAAAACTCACGCACCCTCACAAAAACAAAGCATTAAAAATCAAATATAATATAGAATTCGATTATAAATTAATTATGCATATTGTAAAATGCTATGATAAACAAACCAAGAAATATGTATTCGAAAATAAAAACAATAATATTGCATGTAGGGCTTATAAAAAAAAAGAGAAATTTAAATCATAGTTGCATTAAGAATGAGTAATAACAAAAATAAATAATTTAAGTAAATAAGCCCCATAAAGGACAGCTTCCTATCAAGCTTAAAAGGATTGAAATTACAATGAAATTTAGATCTTACCTAGTGCATAACTAATTTCAATAGAGACAATTAACGACTAACCTGCATACATATACATATACATCTAATAAATAGGTTTAAACTATTCTCGAAAACACAATTTGTTAAATGTTGTGACAGCTGCACAGCTCACAATATGTTGCTAAGGAACCAACTCGAAATAACATTAAAAAAAATCGAAAAAAATGACAGCTCTGATTATGATAGTAGGTTTTTATCTATATGATTTATTTAATAATCCTTGTTTCGTTATTGACTTATTAAACTCACACACACATACATTTATATATACATTTACATCATTCATATTTATTTATTCTTAATTTTTTAAAGAATTTTCGTCTCATTATGCGAGTAAATATTGCATAAGATATTATTATTTGAAACGTTGTTAATTTGGAAAACAAATTTGAAGTTTGCTTCCAAACTAGATTAAGAATAGCATTTAACAAAATTAATTTATATATATTAAGATATTGACACACTAAAAAATGCAAATCAAATCAACAGAAAACGTAAATAATTGCACAGTAAAAAAAAAAAAAAACACACACACACACACACAAAAATAAAAGGTATCACATATAAGATAATATATGAATTAAAAACTAAATATATCAGTACCGCATTAAATATATATTGCATTTTATATATTGATAAAGGGGTCAGCCTATTGTAACAGTTAAATTGTTTTCAAATTTTAAATTCTTAGCATAAACGGAATATCGATAATGCAGTCCTTACCGTTTCGATAAGTGATAATGCCAAATTAGGTCACCCTAAGCTCATGATTAAGTGCGTCCTTTAACAGTGTCCTAAACTGTTGATGTTATTTGTATGTTGCTTGCATGCAAAATAAGTTTGATTTCTAGGGATAAAATATGATGAATTTGCTTGTGCCGATTTGTCATTCTTATAGATATATTATATGGGCTATTGGTAAATAGTTTAAACAAAAGTTACTTGAAAGGATTTGCATAATGTAAATAAATTTAAAAACAGAACAAGATAAAATAATTTCCCTACCCTAAATTTGTTTTAGGACCTGTGATTGACATCAAGATGGAGCACAACGAGAGATGAGAGGAAGATAAGTTTATGAAGTTAATGACCATGAGAATCATGAAAGACATACATATGCAATTAGACCCCAGTAAACAAATTGGAAAAACTAGCCGCGCTATCCCAAACGTGTTAATATTTCACAATCTAAAACCAGTCAGAAATTACTGACCAACGCAGAGGCGATTGATTGGCAATATTTAAATGATATTTGCAATCAAATGACCCACAAACATACCCACACCAGCCACCGTCGTCATTATAAGTGTCCAAATATCTACATTCAAAGCAAACATGTCAGAGATCATATACACATGTGTGCACATAGGCCAACCAAAGCTTTTAGTCAAAAGTCCAATAGACAGGTTCATAAATCCATAAAACTGCGTAAAATTCACACAATCTTAAGCGGCATATGCGAGTTAATGACCTCAACAGGCGCAATCATAGAGATGCTGAAGGCTAAAGACATCCGACATCTAAGATGTTGGAGAAAATATATTGTTTGCTACATATATGTACATATTTAATGTAATAATAATAGTTAACTAATTAAAATATTTCATTGAAATTAGTAAATCATTTGGACGCATTCATCGACTTTTTCGCTTTGCCTTTAGCCAAGGGCGCTTTGCCCTTCAATTGCTCTTTCATCTTTCCCAATTTTTTGGCTTTATTTATCGAATTCTTATCCGTGTTGTCTTTTCGCTTGAGAACTTTTTCGGCTTTATCAATTTTCTGCAGCTTGACAGAGTTTTTAGGCGTTTCAGGGCGTATTTTGGTTGTTATATCCTCGCGATCCAGCGGCTTCTTGGAACGCATTTTCGCCTCCGATTTGCTAACCTTTTTCATTTGCAACATGTACTCCGGCACTTCGCCGCCCGAGTTCTTGATGATCTGGGCAATGCTGTGAAATCGGACATAATTAATCAATGTAATAAAGTTTGAAATTAATACTCATTTACCTTCTTAAATTGGCCGTGTCGTCTTGCGTGAAGAAGGTAACGGCACGTCCGGGACGACCCGCACGACCTGTTCGTCCGATGCGATGAATATAGGAAATCTTGCTGGGCGGAAAGTCATAGTTGATGACCAGATTGACGCCCTTGAAATCGATGCCACGCCCCATCAGCTCCGTGCAGATGAGCACCCAAATGTGACCCTCGCGAAAGGCGCGCACACAATTGTCGCGCTGGTGCTGCGTTCGCTCTGCGTGTATGACATCCACATTGATGCCGTCGTAGAGCAGCTCCTCGAACAGCTGCTTGGCACGTTCCTTGCTCTGCACAAAGACCAGCACGGGCGGCTGCAATCCCTGGCGCACCATCTCGCGCACAGCTAACAGTTTACCGCTCTCGGATCCCACGAAGAGCAGCTCCTGCTTCACCGTATCCGTGGCACTGTTCTGGACGCCAATTGTGACGCGCACCAGATTCTTAAGATGCCGCAACGCCCACTTGGCCACAGGCACCGTGTAGGTAGCACTGAAGAAGGCAACGCGCTTCTGTGGATTCGTGCAAGCGGCATAGATGTCATCCAGCTGCTCCTTGAAGTTGTTCTGGCCTTCCTCCATAAGACGATCCGCCTCGTCCAGCACAAGCCACTCAATCGATTTAAAGTCCAGCAGCGGTGGCTGCTGCTGCAGCAGGAAACGCACACGATTCGGTGTCGAAATCAGTATGTCATACTTCTGCTTGCATTCGGGTCCATATTGCTGCTTCGCCTCGCTCACCTTGCTGATAAAGTGTGTACGTAGACCTGTTCCTTTGGTCAACTCCCCGCACTCCCTGTAAATTTGCTGCGCCAGCTCTCGTGTTGGCGCCAGCACCAGTGCGCGTAAACCAGTAGTCTTATGGCAACGCAGGCCGTTTATGATGGGCGTGAGGAAGGCCAACGTTTTACCTGACCCGGTTGGAGCGCAGGCCATCAGCGCTCTATCTTTCAGCAGCACTGGCAGTGCCTGCATTTGTATAGGCGTTGGCTGTGCGAATCCATAGGATGTGAGATTTTCCAGCAAACGTGGCAGTAATTTGTACTCTGAAGTGCGCAGGTCATCAAATAACTTAATAGGTGCTGGCACATCCTTGCCCAGCACTGTTATTAAGTTCTGCTTGCGTAGAGCATTAATCTCTTCGACACGTTGCAGCTGCTCCGCCTGCTCCTTTGATAATTGTTTTTTGGCCTTTTTACGCTTGGGAGCGTTTTCGGCTGTACCAGTGTCAGCAAGCAAACGAAAGTCATCAGCTGCAGAGCAATCCTCTCCAGAGTCTGAATCTTCAGCTGGCTTAATAACAGGTTTTTGCTGAGGAGGTGTTTCCTTTGCAGCACTTACGCCGTTTGGCTTGGATGGCGGAGCCTGTCAAGCATTGTATTTAGAAATAGTTATAACTCAATCAATYAATACATACCGTACGCTTTTTGGTGAATCGTACACCAGCTGTTAATTGTTTAAATATATCATACGTATCCATTGTTTATTTAAATTAAACCAAATTTAGCGCACGTGCATTTGTTTTGTTTTTATTACAATGCTGCCAGATGCTCTGCATGCGGCAAGCAAGCTATCGAAACTAAGCACGAAAACATCGATAGTATATCAACGATAGCACGGTAACATAATTCGTATTAAACGTCGTTGATTTAATTTAAAGACATGTTATCTTGAATGAATGATTCTTTATTTGGTATTCATTCATTGTTTAATCACCCTCCTCAGTGTTAACCAATGTATCAAGCAGTTCCATACGCCGTCGTAATCCCTTTGTATCCTTCTCGCCACCTCCACGTCCTGGCAGATCTCCACCCCAATTAAATTTGCTCTCCCCACTTCCCTCTGTATCCAAATAATCATCTCCAAAGTCCACGCACAAGTTATGCATGGCACAAATGCTTTCCACAATTAGCCGCACCTCGTTCAAATCTCGCGCCTCCAATGCATACAAAGTGTGAAAGCGACGAGCTAGGGAGTCCATCACATTGTTAGACAATTGATAGGCGGGCTCCAATAGCGCGTTGAAGACGGAATCCTTACGGAAACATTCAGCCTCAATGGGACGAATCAGATAGGATTTGAGGGGAAAGCATGTGCTGCCAATTAGATAACTGTTCGCTGGCATTGTGCGTGGATTTAAAGCCAATGTTTGTCCGATTGGCGAATCCTCAAACGTGTACTCCTGCTCCAGCTCCACATAGCAATCGATGATCTTCTGTTCCCCATTGCAAATCAATTGCAAAACTACAGCTACGTCGGCATGCTCCGATTCCAAGAAAATTTCCAGGCGCTTTAAGGATATGATGCCAAATAGCTCCTGAAAGCAACTCAACTGTGGCAAGTTTTGAAAGCCCTGCAGCGTGCTCTGCTGTGCCTCCAGAGAATTCGGCCACTTGATGAAGCTCTCATAGTTATCGGAGATGATATGCCAGAAGCTGCGCACCACCTGCTGGCACAGCGACCAAGGAAACTGAAATTTGCGCGCAATCTCCTCAAAGTGCTCATCCGTGGTCAGTTTCCATAGGGCCAGTGAGAGGGTTGTCTGTGGCGCCGGCATGCCTGGCAGGGCATTTCGCTGTAGAATCTCCTCCAGAGCCTGCTGGATTTTCTGCAAGATATCATTTGTGTAACCTTTGCATTTTCTATACCGTTTCAATGTTACTTACCAGAAACGTTAGCTTTCGCATATGTAGGAAGGATTCGAACTGGGCATCCACATAGCGGTGCAGCAAATTAAGCTCTGCATATTTCCACTCACATTTGGGGACTTTGCTTGCTGGTTGCGTGGTTGCGGCTGCTGTCTCTGAGAGGTGTGTCCGCTTGAGCTTTCCCTTCACCTGCCCGGCGGCACGTTTTTGTTGCATCAACGCAAAGATTTCCGCTTCGTCATCCTCACTGGCATCGAGCAACGGAAGAGTGCTGGAAAAGAAACCTGCCTGCTTTGGCTGCTCATCGATGAGCAAATCCTTAGCAATAATCGTGGCTATATTTGCCAAAACCGCTCGTTCTTCCATGCCGTCAGCAAAACTTTTGTGTCGGCTAAAGATTTTGGTATGAGTTTTCGTTTCCACCCTTAACAATGTTTGACAAGTCCATCAGCTGACAGTATTCAACTGAAAGCTGTTATTTCAAATTCAATGCGTTTTTTATGTTTATGTAAAGGCATTCAAAAACATTTAATATACACATAATAACAATAACTGCTTAAGAATACTCAATAAAACGTAAATTAAATAGAAATTCTATAGCAACTTTTCAAAAAATCTACAGCGTTGCCAGACTCTCACTGTTGCAGCATATTCGATAGTCAAACTAGCCGAAATCGGTATCGGCATTAACCGTTAAATTTGGGCACTGCAAGGAATACCATGCATATCGCATTCCAACGGAACTGAAAATAAAATAAGCAGTTAAAAGTAATTTTCAAATGAGGTATATTTTGTTTATTGAATTGCAACTTACCTGAACCGGGTTTCTTGATTTCAAACAGATCCCATGTACACTCATGCAAGGTAGGATTTGCATAGGCGACGCCCGGGAGATTTTGTATTGGAACAGCTCCAGCACGCAGTTGCTTGATACGTTGGCGCATCGTCGCCAGTATTTCCGCATGTTGCTCTGAATAAGCAAGATTGTTGCGTTCACACGGGTCGACGCTCATGTCGTACAGACATTCCTCCAACAGGGCATTGCAACCGCGCTGCATATCGCCGCAATCGACCTTAGCGTCTATCATAATGTTTTTCATGCGATGCTGCGTAAGGCGCTGCTGGTCAAAGCGGGCAAGCGCTCTCGAGGCAAGCGAGTTGCGCACCTCCACCACATAACGATTGGCGCGAGGATCAAGGTCATCGAGTTCGCGCTGCACCAGCTGCTGATCGTACTGCCCCGCCAAGGTTGTTCCATTCACATACTTCCAATAACCCAACAGCAGCGAGCTCACGTTCCACACATCGTCGAGACTGTGCAGAATTTCGCGTGGCACATGTGGTGCTTCTTTTGGGCCCGACAACTGTGGCCACAAATCAATGCCATCCAGCTGCAGCGAGTCGGGCAGCTCTATGCCTGCAGCATGCGCCAATGTGGGCAGGAAATCTCCAACATAAATCGGCTGGGTAAATACACTGCTGCGCGCCTTGAGCAAGGGACTCCAGATAGCGCCGGCCACCCGCAAGCCCCCCTCCCAGGGTGAATTCTTCTGTCCCTTGAGCGGCCAATTGGAGCCCGTATTGGCGAACATGCCCACCGAAGGCGCGCCATTGTCTGAGTAGAAGATCACAATGCTGTTCTCCAGCTGCTCGGCACGCGCCAATGCGCCTATCACACGGCCCACGCTCTGATCCAGCTTCGAAACCATAGCTATTTAAATATTAATTAATTAATTAATCTTAATTAATAATTGCATTATTAATTACACTCTTAGCTTACCTGCATACTTCCTGTGATTCGGATCCTTGATGTGGGCGAACTTTTGCAGCTCCTCCTCTGGCACCTGCAATGGATCATTGTCGTTGCCCGTGTGCACGGCCAGGTGATTGATCATGAGGAATAGTGGCTGCTGCTTAGCAGCAGTCTCTTGTATCACACGCTCCGCCTCATTGGTCAACAAATCCGTCATATAAACGCCACGATCTGCACACTCCACCTCCATGTTTCGTCTAAAATCATAGCCCATTATGTACGTCTTGTCCGGCATTTGCGAGCGGCGCTGATAGTAATCAATATATGCACCCCAATAGCCATAATGATAATCGAAGCCCCGGTGGGTGGGCGTGAACTCCGGCCTGGCGAAACCCAAATGCCATTTGCCCACCAGATTCGTTGAGTAGCCCGCCGCCCGAAAGATCTCTGGCATCAACGTGGTATTCAACTTTAAGGACCATGGCTCCTGATTGCTAATCACAAAGTGCTGCGTGCCTGAGAGTTAAGTCTATACATAAAAGAGATCAACTAATACGCATTTACAAATCTCACCTGTGTGTATTGGGTATTTTCCACTTAGCAGTGCGCCGCGAGATGGAGTGCACATGGCCGGCGCATAGAGGCGATCCAGTAGACGTCCATGGAAGGCCAATGCATCAATATTCGGTGTAAGAAACTCACGTCCGCCGCGTATGCTCAGATCGTCGAAGCCCTATAATTCGCAGTTGATGAATGTTAATTATCTATATGCCGTCGACCTACTCCGATCTATAGATTTTCTCATCTCTATTACCATATCGTCGGCCATTATGATGATTATGTTAGGCAATTTACTGCCAGTTCTTGTCGTGTTTGTCTCGCGGTCGTACGCTTTAACCCATCCGAGATTGAGCAATAGTAAAAGTGCTGATAAGATGACGACGCGCATTTTGATGAATGAATGATAATATGAAAAATATTTAAATGCCGCTCCAAAAACCGTTCGATGCGGCTGCTCAAAAACGACTGATACAAGCATTATCTACACAGCAGTTGCTTGTGCTGCTGCTGCTGCTAATGCTGGAACTGCTGGAACGCTACTGCTGCAGCAGCAGAGACACTGATCAAACACCGCTCAGAGACAACTTAACAATTAGCAGTCGGCTGTATATCTCACGGCGTTTTTGTCATTTTAATGTCAAGTGGCAGTTAAGCAACGGCGGCTGTCGAACCTAACAAACCTGAAATTTTTATTGAAATTGATAAATAAAAAATGCTGTATCAATTAGAGCAGCTCGACGGCATTAGAATGCAAAATGTGTGGCGAACTTTTGGGGCTATAAGTTAAAGAATACGGAAAGCAAACATTGGCTTACGTAAATATCGACTGATAGCCTAAAAGTTACGTGTGCTAGACCAGCAAATACCCTGTAGTGAGAGTGGGAGGGAGAGAGAAGCGTAAGCAATAATAAAGTTATATTTGATTGCATTTTTCTTATCTGCAATTAGGCAGATTGTTGATACGTTTTTTATTTATTTATTTTTTTTTTTTTTTTATTATATTTTATTCCAGTTTAATTTATATATTCATTACTTAATGGCCCTTTTAATGGGTTACAAATTTCAAGTATTTCTGTGTACATACTGAAACATTAAATTAATTTGAGCCTCTTCACAAGCTGCCGCAGTCTTCGATAATGACTTTCTTCGAGGTCTTGCCGGAGTTGGAGCCCATCGTCTCGACTTTGGCTATAATATCCATGCCCTCCACAACTTTGCCGAAGACAACATGCTTGTTGTCCAGCCAATTGGTCTTCCCAGTGCATATGAAGAACTGCGAGCCATTGGTGTTACGTCCGGCATTTGCCATAGATAGAATGCCCGGACCCGTGTGCTTCAGCGTAAAGTTTTCGTCGGCAAACTTATTGCCGTAAATCGAACGACCCCCCGTGCCGTTCTGATTGGTAAAATCGCCGCCTTGACACATAAAGCCCGGTATGACGCGATGGAACGGGCAGCCCTTATAGCCGTAGCCCTTCTCCCCAGTGCACAGAGCGCGAAAGTTTTCAGCGGTCTTGGGCACAACGTCTGAACGTAACTCCATCACAATACGGCCGAGTTTTTCGCCCCCGGCGTTGATGTCAAAATAAACACGTGGCAAAGACATATTTTTTGATCAGCTAAATAAAATATATAATGCGAGGTTTGTGAAATAAATATTAAAAATAAATTTTTGCCAACTCACATGAGAATTATCTACGAGGGTTTTATTTTATTTATTTTTTTTTTTGTTTAGTTGTGTTCCGTAGCACGGCGAAAATTGAACTGAGAAATCGGAAATTTAATGGCCTACTATTTCCTTGGGATGCGAGTCTCTAGGGATATTTCTTGATAAGAAATCGATAAATGTATTTTTGGGTATTTTATGCTTGCTGTCAGTCAGACTAACCCCATCTGATATTTTCAAATTTAGAATAAATATTCTCGTGATTTTGTTAAAAAGAAACCTTTTCGAAACTGATGGAATCGGTGGAACAGGATGGCGAGCAGGTCAATCGGGACGACTTGATCCTACAGCAGCAGCGTGAAATCGAGCGAGAGGTGAGAGCTGCAGTTCATTCACATGCTGAGATGACTATTCACTTTCGTGCCAATCGATTATAGATCAGCGACTCAACGCCTTTGGTCAGCGACCAATTGCCGTTGACCTGCTTGACGGCCGAGTATAATGGGGATGCGGTTTTCACGGCCAAGATTCAGGCCTTGGCCAGCAAGTATAAGTATATGCGAAGAACTCGCCCCGATGGCAATTGTTTCTTCAGAGCCTTTGCCTACTCGTATCTGGAGTGGTTAATCTCGAATAAAGCGGCCTACGATAAATTCCGTCAGATTGCAGAGACCTCGAAGGATAAGCTGATTCAACTGGGTTTTCCAAGCTTCACATTGGAAGATTTTCATGGAACTGTAAGTTCATAGCTACACACACACAGAAGCTCTATATGATCTATTGTAAATATATTGCAGTTTATGGATGTTATTAATAGAGTTAATCCGGAAAATCCTGGTGGAGTCGAGAAGAATCAAAGCGAGCTGCACACCATCTTCAACGAACAAGGCTATTCGGATTATGTGATTGTCTATCTACGTTTGATAACCTCCGGCAAGCTGCAGGAGGATGCCGAATTCTATCAGCACTTCATCGAGGGTGACATGTCCATTGAAGAGTTTCGCCATCAGGAAGTGGAGCCAATGTTCAAGGAATCCGATCACATACACATCATCGCACTCTCCGCTGCCCTCGGTGTGGGCGTGCGTGTCGAATATCTGGACAGGGCCGAGGGTGGCACTGTCAAGGCACACGATTTTCCCGAGGGAGCTCAGCCTATGGTTTTCCTTATCTACAGACCTGGACACTATGATATACTATATCCGAACTGAATTTGGCTAACTCGACAATTACGTGCTGTCAATTTAAACCAAATTACCTATTCGTAAACAAGGGATTCTAAAACAAACAAAAAACCAGAGGAGTTAGTAATAAAATAAATAAGTGGGAGCATAATTTTGTTGTACTTGAATATGTTTTAGGGTTTATGTACTACTGGCAGTATGATAATCATCTCAATTGTTTTTGCCATATTAACATATATATGTAGACATAACGAAGTATGTAGTAGTATATAACATTAACCAAAAGATAATTTATTTCGTAGAGATCTAGAGATTTTTCCAATCTTCGTTTCGCATAGAATGCACAAAGCGGAATTACGAAAAATTCGCTCTATAATTATATAGATTAAGTTACATTAGCTGTTTGTATTTAGGTAATATATAGTACAACCAACTTATTCTCTCATAAGGAAAGGGACTTGCCTTGGTTTTACTGTTTTATATTGCAGTTGACTGCGATTAACTATATAAAGTATATATAAAATAAATATATATACAATATTAAGTTTTTCGATTCGATACACCCCAATAGACAAACCACAAAAAAATAATGTTCTAGTGTTGAGGTAAAGCAATGAGTATCCAGTATGTCTCATAATAATTAGAGATAGGAAATGTTAATATATTGTTTTCCAGCAATATTACTAAATAATATATAATTTTTTCGAGTACATGCAGCCAATAGTCGTTAGCTTCCATAACATATTACGTTTATCTGCATTGCTTTACTCCAATGTGAATTCCAAATTTCAAGGTTCAACAATGCTGAAAATGTTAGGGCAAAAGACAATAGATGTAAATATGTATATACATTTATCTAGATTGGTTTACACAAATGTAAATTCCAAGGTTCAATATTGCTAAAAACTATACTGAAAAGAAAATTTGCCACGCCCGCAGTGGGCATATACAAAGATCTTAATATCGTTTAAGAATTGACCACAGAGATGATAGATACTAGGGTACAATTTGGTAACTATACAGTATATACATATATAGCTGAACCGAGCACAGTTTGAATAGCTCAAAAGTTAAGAAATATTTATTAATCTTGTTCTTAAGCTTGCTCTAATATATAAATTAATTTTCTTTTTTAATTAAGAAATGTTCATGAACTTGAATATTTGGTAGTAGCTCCCATGGTATATAATCAGCTTGCTGGCTGCTTGATAACCTCATTCGTACTTGGCTCTGTTAATCACAATCAATTTTCGTATTGTTTATTGTCCATTGTCTTTTTAATTGTTCAGCGGTTTTTTTTTTTCTCACAGCTGTTTGCTGCGGTTATTGAATATTATTATTRTACACGTTCTTTATGTCTAGTTTAATACAATTTACACCTTTGTTTACAAGTGTCTACAAGCACTATTCAACTAAATTCTAAATTAAATGGGCCTCAGCAAGGCAACGACACACTCATACACACACATAGATAATATAAAATGTACACAAACACACACATTCAAACATACATTAGCTAATTTAAAGGCATTAAATACTCATTATGAGCTCGCTCTATGTTCTATATAGATTTATATATACATATATGTAAATATATATATATTCTCTCTCCATCACCAGACGACACTGCGCACAGCCGCCGGCAGCTCACAAATCGCATTATGCACAGGTATTGCCAGGAATCCGGCCAGCGCAATGCCGTATGAATCGGATTGGACGACCATGGACATGGCGAACTGCTGTCGACCCGGCGCTATTTCCTTGGACATGCGATAGAAGGTGTTCACATAGGCACCGCCGCCCAGCAGGCCCTCCCACAGCACGATGACAAACACAATCCAAATGGTGGGCGTGTAGAACCAAATGACTTCGGTCAGGAAGTAGACAACGTTGATGCACTGGAACACGGACATTAGCCAGATTTTGTTCAGCTGGAAAATGTTGACGGAGGAGCGAGAGATGAACACGCCTATCTGGTAGTCCACGTTCAGCCAGCGATACTGAGACGCCTTGTCCAGGAAGATGTTCTCAAAGTAAACCAGCTCGAACTAGGAATGGAGGCAAATCAATGGGAATCTTATAAGAAAAGACTGGACTTGATCTCAGACACTCACCAGTCCCTGGTTGATAAAGTACTCGAAGAAGTAGACCAGGCACAGCGGCAGCATATACTTAAACAGGTGCTTAATGTAGGACAGCTTCTCCTTGAAGCCCACCAGGGGCTTATCGTCGCTGATCAGCTCCTCGGTCGACTCGACTGTGGTGACGGGCAGCACTTGAGGGCGACGCAAGAGCAGCCAAAAGGCGAACGCTTCAATGGCCGGAAAGACCAACATGATCAGCATCGTATCACGTGGACTGACATCCAGAGCGCGCAGCGAGGCATAGCTGAGTGAGCCAATGACGCCAGCACCGCCAGTGCCCGAGGACCAGGTGGAGATGACATTTCTAGGAGCAGGAAATTTGAGTAAACCTAATCAATAACTAAACGAATAGCAGCTAAACTCACTTGTTGAAGCGCGAGGAGTAAGCCAGGAAGGTTGTTTCGCCAATGCCGCTGCTGGCCGAGGTAATGATGACGCCCAGCAGTGCCATCCACTCGGCATTTGCAAAGCCCACAAACAGGAAACCCGCTGCTGAGCAGGCCACAGCTATGCCTATGCGTACACTGTGAGAAAAAGAAAGGAAGTCAATATAAATTTTGTGAGAACTTTCAGACTAAACGACTCACTTAACCCAGAAGGGAAAGAAGGGCATCAGAATTTTGACAAAGAGCGAGGGCAGAACATCCCGCCAGCAATATGGCGCCCGTCGATACCAAAGGCACTCCCCGGCCCTTGCCCGTATCGCCGACCTCGCCCACCTCAGGCGAAAGGAAGATATATAATAATAATAATAAATGTATATTTCTGTATATTATTTATAATCCCAGCCCACCTCATCATTGAACTGCGCTATGATGTCGTGCGCCGCACTCAGCATAACCACATAGCCGTAGTTGTTGCATAGACCCAGGATCCAGTAGGCGGTCAGATCTCGCCAGAGGCTGCGATCGTGCCGTATGCTGTGCGCTGCGCCTGTGGGCGTGACCACCACCTGTGGGTTGTGATCGCTATCCTCGGCCTCCTGCTGCTTACTGGACGCCGACATCTTGGGCAGGAGTACTGCAATTGGAAGACATTTTGGAATCGGTTAGGATTTGCTGTTAACCCGTAATGTCACTCGGCTTAGATAACCTGCCAGCAATTCATGATCAACATCTTCATCTACATCTCTAGCCATTTAGCCAACTTGCTTAACTGTTCTCTATGTACAGCTTTAGCCACCTTGGCCTATAATTAGTTCAAGTGTAGCAGGGCGAACGTCATTACGAAAGCTCTTTCCGCATTTACTGTGAAAGCTCTGCCTTGTTTAATAACTCATTTATTTCCTATGTGTGTGTGTGTGTGTGTGCTCGAGTGAGCTTTACTTATTAAGCTAAACATGTGCGTCGGCGGTCTTGAATGTTTTCATTGAGCAAGTTCAACCTAGTCGAACACATTTGGCCTGCTGCAAACGTGCTGCCAATGCTAATAAACTGTGCGAGTGATACAGCTTTTTAATAGCCGTTAAGTAGTGTAAATAAAACAGGATAAGTTATTATGAATCAGACAATATTGTTTGAAAAATGAAAGTCCGATTCTGAGATCAGAATACAGTTAAGCTGGGTTTTTGACGAGTAATTAAATTCTGTTTAATAATTTTGAACATATCTGATATTTTTTCGAATACCCAGAGAAACCAGTTTTAATGTATATTGAAGTTTGGCATATGGAATTATGAATTGCTGCTAATATTATTGCATGGTTTAGTATCTAAAAGTTCTCCCCATTAAAAACCACTTAGTATTTTCTAATCAAATGGCTTCTCTACTTTGACGAGCTGTGTAATTA